CATGTAAATCCCGGATATGAGGAAAAAAGCCAGGACCCCAGCACTACAAGGAAATACCGCTAGCCATTGTGCTACCCATTGACAATAGTGATACAAATACATTGGTGGGAATGATCAAACCTGGAGCAGTTACCCATGGCAACCAATCAGCTTCTATCATCAGTTAGGTAAAGATTTGAAAATGAAAGTGAGAAGCTGATTGGCTACCATGCACAGCTGCTCCAGATTTTTATAAATTCCCCTTGTTGTTTACAGAGTAGTGGAAGAAGCAATGATATTCTGTTCTTTTAGCCTTCATTTCACACGAGAAACCGCCGGCCCGTACAGATCTGTGCAGCGTGCCCTGCCGAATTGGGCCGCTCCCCGGAAGGATAGGTGCTGCGTGCGATTACAGGCAGCAGCCTGTCCTTCTCTATGGAATTACGCGGCCCTACGCTCACCTGAACTGCCCGTCCATGTGTGTGCCCCTGCTCAGACACAGACAGGATCCATCCAGTCTGTGTACGAGTACGGACACCCGCACCGACGGGCAGTTCAGGTGAGCGCAGTGCACAGTGAGAGAAGGAAAGAGGAGACCAGAAGGGGGCTGTGTCCTATGTAGTCCATCACAAATGAAGTAGGCAAGGCTGACGTGCTTAGGATTCCAAAGCTGAAAAGGCCGCGTGTTGGAGGTCAAACAGTTTCTGGCGCATCAACAGTTATTTCTCTGTACTTGCAGTGCATTTGCAGTAAACTAAACATGAGACTGTAGTCCATCACAGGAGTGAGCTTGGAGCGGTGACTACTTTACAACACACACAGGGACCATGGGGAACAAATGTAGCCACCCTCCAGAAGGAAGGACAGTGTCAGCACCAATTCAGAGATGATTTGAGGATCTACAGCCGAGTGATACACAATAAAGATACATTTCTGTTAATAGTTGAGGTAATTAAATACATTTTGAAGATTTCACTCCAGAGTTCAGTGTCACTCTAAGTAAATTGTAGCTGGCCGATGGCCTAGTACCGTTGCAAGTTCCGGTTTGCTTCATAGCATTACGTCCCGTTATGTTCTGTTGCCATAACTCTTCCCAGAACACAGAGGCACCACATAAAACCTCAGAACACGCAACAGCCAAGACCTTTGTGTAAAATGCATTTTTAATTTTTTTTTCACATACCCAATCCAAATAAAATTTCTCTTAAATGCTTTCATAGACTTAACAGCAAATCTGGTTCGTATCAGGGCAGACTTGTTGCATTGAAGACATTAATGTGGCCTGCCCATTCTGCCAAGAATTTGTTTGCAAAGCTGGACCCCGTACTGTAAACTGTTGTACAGCATAGATCACCCTGTAGCTTATCTTCTTTCTAATAATTTCCCTTTGACACTAGGTAGAGAGAAATACCGTTAGTAACTTACTTAGGTCTATCATTTGGGTTGGAAAATAAAGCAAAGAACAAAAAGGCAAAGAGTAATGTTCAAAGTGGAACCGTTGTATAGCAGGAGTAGGCAACCTCAGCACTCCAGCTTTGCTGAAACTACAAATCTTGCATGCCTCTGCCTCTAGAAGTCATGCCTGTGACTGTCAGAGTCTTGCAATGCCAGCTGGAGTGCCGAGGTTATCTACCCACTGTATACAGACCCGACTACAGTAGGCTAAATTCAGTTTTTTCCTTAAATCAGTCTTTTTACCACGTCACACTGTAAGCTTATGTTTTAAAAATATTTTTTTTAGAAAGGATGACTCTACAGGTGGTTGGTCTTTTATTTTCCACTTGTTTGCCGAGGTGGGGTATCTGCCATTCTGTACTACTTAGCTGCAGTGGCAGGATCACAAAGAAAATTACAAATCCTTTTACAGGTGAAACCATTCACATACTGTATATGCATTTACCTTTGTGTGTGCCTGGAGTTCAGCTTTAAGACTATATGTCATCCCCGTCATGTGTTACAATAAAACACTTCTGGATGTGTCACAGGCCTACTTATTTCAGTCCAGCATGGCATGTAGTGGGATTTAAGCAAGGGCCAGCCAGGGCTGTTTCCACTTCCCAGACCAACCATAAGCTTAAGTAAAATTTAATATCACACTATCCATTGCAATAATGTATGCACCATTTACGGCTAGCAGATCAGGCAAATCCAACATTTCTTGTAGAATAAAAGGTTGTTCACAGCAGCACAGGCTACACAAAGCCTGACCAGGCATCTAGAGCATTGTACCCTATTCACATTGCGTACCCCCTGTCCTCAGCATATGGCAAACATGTAATGACTGTTTTATTAAAAAAAAAAAAAAAGAAAAATAGTCCTCGGATTGCATATTAGAATTTATTATGAATACATTTCCAACATATTCTAGAATAGATTTATAGAGATTTACATCTTTTCTTTAAAAAACAAAACAAAAAAAAGAAAAAAAAATGTAGGAAACTTGAATAATCACTTCATGTGTCATTTAGTTATACAGAAATTGTCAGAATTCGGTTACACTCATTCCATGGTAATCTCTCTATTACTGCAGTTGCGGATGTACATGGGGTGCGCTTACCTAGATATACAGGAATGTCATTTGTTTAAAAGTCAGTGAATGGTGTGAGCGTCAATGGCTTATTCAGTCCTAGAACATGAAAGCTAGGTTTCTCCAGCTTATCATGACCGGGAAGTGATAAGAGTTGTTCTGTTGATATTCCTAATGAAGATTTACTTTTGCTTCATGCACACTGAACGATGTATTGAGATAGCATTGGTTTATGTTCAAGGCATTCTGAATGTCACGAGCCATTTGTCATGAATTATTCATGGTCACCACCAGGAAACGGCTCTTAAGGTCATAAAGTGAAATCTTAAAAAGGAGGATATTGTAGGGGCACATTCACCAAATATTACTGTCCGCGTATGCACAGAGAATAGATCCAAGCTTTATACGTACAGTTTGTGTCAGTTAAAAATACTTTTTTTTTTGTTTTGGATAGAATAGGGAAGAATTGGAACCGCTGTCAGGTTTTTACTGCTCCATTACAGAGATTTCCATTCACTTACTTCCCAGTAAAAAATGGCTTTACTAGATAGTTGGAGATTTTCCCTCACTTCGTAGCAGAGACAAATAAAATATAAATTTTATATATTATCTATAATTATATATATTTTTGTATACATATATATTTTTTTCTAGTTATTTTTTCTATGCAGAAAAGGGGAAGGCTAAAACCCCT